TACACATACACACACATATACAGGGAGAGAGAGAATGGTTTGCCTGCCGACTTGTCATTAAGTACCGTAAACATCCTGCAAATTGTGAACAGGTAATTGGAAAACAGTCTGTCCGTGTTCCTGATTCATTGAATGCATCCTCTCGATCTCAACTCAGGAAATCCACAAAGCTGTCCAGGCCCTGCTGTCATTTTGTGGCCAGATATGGAAAGATATAAACCGCCTCCTTTCTTCCCTGTCAAAACAGTTGTGCCACGTCCTACCCACTTCCGAATTTTGACTGACTGCCTCACAGATGGTGTCTCTGTCTCCACCCCCCCACACTTTTAATCCATATATTCCTTTACCTCAAATTTGCAAATTTTGCTTTTTGTTCCTAAATATCATCTTTCCTCCAACCTCTTGTGATGTCATTTGCGGCCTGGAAAAGATCTTGATTATGCTATAATGCCACTGTTTATGTTTTAAAAAGAAGGAAAGCTGTACATTTCATATTAAATTTGGCGCTTTAAATAAAGGGCTGGTGCAAATCTCTGAGTGCTCATCTCCATAAAAGGGATGGAAGACTGCGGAAGGAGAATCTGTTTCCCATTTCTACCATTTTAATAATTAAGCCTGACTTACGTTTTTTTAACCTTGCCCATATCTTACTTTCATAATATTTCTGTTTTGTTTTTTAAATTGCTCCCATCATGATAGGGTTGATTTGAACTCTTGTTTTTCAATTTTAAATATGCAAAATTTTAGTTATTTTATGGATTAAAATAAGCACCGTGGACCAGCCTGAGCATCTGATCACCACTGATAAGACCATTATCTTTCTCAAGTTCCATCTATGATAACTGGCTTACAAATAAACTTGTGGATTACAGCCTGTTTGACAACTGGAAACAGCCACATTGATTAAAATCAAAAGATTTTCAGACTTCGATATTGGGACAGTGTGGATTATCTAGCATCTAAATAGAATGTAAGATTATGGAAATCCATTTCCTACTTCTAGACTCTGCAAGCAAATGATCATCTCCCCATAGTGTGATATCTAAATAGTTAATCCGGTATGTCAGACAACTCCATTTAGGAAACAATGACTACTTAGCCATAGAAAACAAATGGTACATGTATAATGTATAATCCATATATGGTAAACATTTATATGCTGTGTAGACACATACTGTACTATGTATATACACACTGAATAAGAGATATAGTAAACTATATTTGTATTTCCCACACTTAAATACATTGCACCTCTCCTACCATCGTGAAACTCTCTCTTCTTCATTCCTTACTATAAAGTAATACTAATACCTAATGAATAATAGCAATTTTTTCCAGCAATCTTAAATAGAGGGTTTAATCAGTTTATCTAGATGCACAAAATTTGTTTCTAAAACTGAGCACAATCATACTTCACCACCCAGGATGTAGCCAGCCAGTGGATACAGTCATGCTTCTTGTCTTCCGCTACCGCAGACCAGTGGCTGCAAAAGGGATGGGATTTTTTCTTTCCTCTTACGAACCAAGCCCTGGGTTTTATTGTTGTTGTTGTTGTTTTAATATACAGCTAAGGAGTGTTTTGTAGCCACACATGACACACACACACACACACACACACACACACACACACACACACAGTCCCTAGCAAGGGCAGGGTGGGGCTGGTGGACTGGGTTCCTCTATGAGCCTCTCACCATCTGTTTCTCCCAGTGACAGCAGTTATGTTTGAAGAGCGTAACCGCCTGGTATCTTATGCATTGATTCATGACTAGTAGCTCTAATATCTTATGAAAAAGATCCATTGTTATTGCTTTTAAAGAAAGAAAAGGATTGCAATTCACATTTGCAGCTTCCACCTTGTTCTTGTATTGTTTAAAGAAAAAGATGGCAGAGGAAATGTTTGCATATGTAATAGGGATCAATTTTATTTTTCAAATCATTCTGTTTTAAAGTGTCTATAGACTTTGTAGTTGTTTATAGGTATGAGGCATTCATCAGTGTGAAATAGTTATTTCCTTTCCCTGTTTCCTCTTATCAAGAAAAAAATCCCTTTGGTCTCCTAGAAAAATACAATCCATTTTGCCAAATTATTTGTGAGTTTCTACAGAGTGTGTTTAATATCACCAGGGCACAGGTTTAGACTATTTGCAGGATTAGCAGGAGAGACGTGGCATGATTGGTCTTTGGGCCATTGCGGTGTGTTTGGTGTGCTAGCAAACATGAATTTATCTTATCCTTGTTTAACTACTACACAGCAAGTGAGCTGCCCAGTATTGTTCCATTCATCTTCCTGAGTTCATTCAGAAGCCTGACACTTCCTTTGCCGGACAGATTAAAGGGGCAGCGTGGGACCTTTTGATGATTTGAAACCTGCCTTCTCTCAGTCTAAGCTCCTTAGGCTATGCTGACCACTCAGAGGTTGAACTACTATTTATTTGCCCTAAAATGAACCAGAAGCTTGGTCTTAATTTCCTTCCTGACAAGTGTTTCAATTTACTAAAAGTATACAGATTTTGTAGTGAGTTGTTTTTCAATCTTTCATTTTTAGTGCTGATCCAGGAAAGAAAGGAGATACGGAAACATTTTTAAAAAAATAGCTCAAAAGAAAGCATGTAAAGCAGTAAAAAACCCAGAATTGTGCTGCTGCTTTGTGTGTGTGCTAATCAAATCAGTGGGTGTTAGGTTGCAATGGTGATCCTTTAGCTGTGCGGTTTATCTATGATTCCCTTTTACAGTATATTATTTTCTTCCTCATGAGAAAATCAGTGTTTATTATCACAGGTGACAAAACACAGAGGCGAAAAACAAACAGAGAGGTTACATTTAATCACTTGAAGTGGGTTTCATCTTTGCATTTTTGTTTTCATTCCCAAGCCAGAAGCCTATAAACCGAATAAGAGGGCAAACTGCCTTTCGCTGCTGAGCTAGGCCAGGAGGGCAGGTGTGGAGCCGGCGAAAAGATAAACATTGAGTCACTCTTGGTGAAACGGTATTTAGCTAGAGAGCCAAAGACGGACTTTTGAAATACCATTGTGCTGCTACTGCTCAAATATTGACTAAGTGAGCCTGGAAAGGAAGAAATTTGGGCCACCTAACATAGAATTCCTTGTCTTTTTCTGTCTTTAAATGCTATCTCAAAGACCCAAGAGAAAGGGTAGTTTACCTAAGAAAGAAATATGAGCTTTGCTTATGGAGTTTCAGGTATACCTAATGTAGGCTTAATTAAGCAAATACAATTGACCAGCCTTGCATTTGGCAAAGCATTCTTTTCTGTTTCGTGGCTCTTTATTATAGGAGATGACTTGCCAGTCGGGCAGCTCAGAAGATTTGCAGCAATGAGTCTTTCATCCCTCACAGTGACTCTGTAACCACGGTTGATGTGGGAACGTTATTAAACGTCACCATTTACAAAGAAATAGGATGTTCACGTTAAGCAAGTATTTAGGATATAGTTTGCCTTCCACGTATTCCAGCCTGCGTTGCTGCATACTTTCTAAGCTTAGCGTAGTTACTTACACAGCTATGAATTTTAGGAGGTGTTTAAAAGCACACCACAGTGACCTGGGAAAGGAGAGAAACTTACTGGAGCACTTAGCCAGGAGCTTAAAAAGACATTGCTGGTGAGTTTTAGATGACATGAATATACATTTGATAGGTCAGTTGGGTACATTTTTGTTGTTTTAATGACTCCTCTTGACACCGCTACAGTGGTGCTGGGAGCATGCATTCACGTTCATTCATTTAGGCTCACGGCTCACATAATAACTCAGCCATTTCCTCTCTGAAGGTAGTGGGGTAATGAGAAGCACAGAAGAGGATCCAAGATCCGTTCTGAGATTCAGATAAGGTGTCCTAACAAAAAGCTGATGGCAAAATGAAAGAGTGACAAAATAACTGTGCTTTTCTAGGGTAACGTGTTAAATAAGACTCACCAACTTTTAAAAGATTTTATGTGGTTTTAAATAATCACATCCCTTGCCATGTAAGCATGCTGATGTCACGACATCAGCATGCCACTTAACAATTAATTTATGCATTTTGATTAAACTTCCTTTAGAATATATGGAGTCCATATAAAGAAAAGTCCAGGGTCATTTGGCTTTTCAGCGGTTTTGTATAAATAGCTCCCATGTTTACACGTGAAAAAAAATTATCTGTGAAAGGAAAAGCTTTCAATATCCTATTTTGGTTACGTCTCCATAAAAAGCCTAGGAAGCAGCGGGATCATCTGTGAAACAGTGGAATCACCCCAAGAACAAGAGCAAACTGTCAGACCGTCCTGCCGTGGCATGACTTGAACATAACCGCCCCACGTGGGGACGCGTTCCACATGGGTGGCTCGAACTGCCGAGGCTGCAGTGCTGAATACTTTCCGGACGCTTGGGAAAACTGCCCCTGTTTACAGATGGCAAGCCCTTAGCCACAGAGCCCTGAGAATCTGAGCAACATAAAGTCTGCTTTATTTAATTTCCTCTCGTTTACCAAGAGTCACAACCTACTTTAGTAAATAAATTCAGGAAATTGGTAAAGCACTTTACTCTATCCGTTCTGTCCCGGTCATCAGCAGGGTTGTCACGGTCTTCCTGGCTCACGGGCTGCTGTGGCTCACAGCCTTCCCTCACTCGCCTGCAATCAGCTGAGCGCCTCCCTGGTGATGGGTCTTACCGAGCTTCAGCGATGTAAACAAACAGAATGGCACACAAGTTGTGCAGGAGTGTATTTCCTCTACTTCGTTAATAAAGATCTGCAACTTTACGGATTTTCTGTATTGACCCTGGCGTTCTTTCCAAATAATTATTTTCACCCCGGGACTACCCACACACCCTGGGATAGAATAAAAGAAAAATGATCTTTCATCCTAGGGTACCCGCAACCTGCTCTCCAGCTCTAATCCTCTTAATCCCCCCCCCTTTTATTTTTGGTTGTTAAAACCAGAGCTGCTGCCAAGCTGATGTTAATAGCATGGATTGTTCGCAAAGACAGATGGACGGTTTCCCTACCTTCATTAGCCACTGAGTGTTGTTTTCCATGATGTTCTCCAGCAGCTGCAGCCTCTGCACCGAGTCATCGTACTCCAGCGGCGCGTCCCTCTGCACAGCATTGGACACGTAGGGGCTGGAGGGAGAACGGCAGTTGTCCATCTCGGGCAGGAGGAACGTGTAGCTGCAGGACCCGTGCTGAACCTGATACTGCTTCTTTCCTATGCTGTCCATGCTCTTCCGAAAGTTGTTATAGGCTGTGGCCAAGACAACATCACAGCTCAGAGTAAAGAAAACAATCTGCCACATTCTTTCTTCAGGAATAAATCAGCAGCTCAGCAAACTTGAAGGCACACACAGACGTCCAGAGTCCCGAGCTGCTGCCGTCGGAAACGCAGGGCTACTGTGCTGCCATGGCTGGGTCCGTCAATGAAAGTCTTCTCTTGCCTCTTTTTCCAGTAGCAAACTTGGTTTTAAGTGCTGTGTTCTCTCCAGGCATGCAGTAAACTGTCAGATTGCAGTGGGAAGAACGGTCCTGCTCGCTTGGGAGGTCTGTGCCAGCTTCTACAGAGCAGCTTTCACCGTCCTTTGTTTCTCTCTCCCCAGATCCTACAGTGTCAGTATCCGAATCAATCACTTTCCTTTCCTTATATGATAAGTTGATAAGAGCAGCCAGACATGTGTAGTGGGCTGCTCCGCCCTCCTGGCTGATCCGCTATCTTCCTGTAGGGGGTCACTAGCCAGGCAACAGGAAAAATCAGAGCAGAATGCCTGCCGTCCAACGGGACCGCATGCTGCAGAAATCCTCCGGGAAAAACCGATCGTTACAGGACCCCTGGGCATTCCTAGGCACCACCCTAATTAAGTATTTCCTAGAGAGAGCAGTTGATCTCTTTTGTCTGAAACTGATTTCACCGTGCTAAGCTGGCAAGGTATCTGAGGTAATAACTTTACTGTTAAAGCACAATGAAAGTTCCTGTTTTTTCCTTGAGGAATAAAAATACTACAGGGCTCCGGTTCATTTTTGTTATTACAAATAAAGAGGAAGAAGTTTGGCTCTTGTAAACTCGTGCCTTTCCAGAGGGAAAAACAGATTCATTGATATTAGTTGATTTTTGAGCCACTGGCAACGTTACAAAAGACTTTCATTTCAAAACAGTTGGAGAGGAAGATCTTCTGTTATTAAGTCATGTTAGAAACTTCAGTTTCTGAGCTCTGACATGCATTCTTTAAGAAAAATCCACTTGTATATTCACACTAAAAGTACACTGTACTGATTAAGTTCATTACATTACAATAGAGAAAGTAGAATTTAAGTGAAAGAGGAACTCAAACTACTTTTTTCTTTTTCTTTCTTTTTTTTTTTTTGAAAAAAGTCTCACTCTGTTGCCCAGGCTGGAGTGCAGTGGTGCGATCTTGGCTCACTGCAACCTCTACCTCCTGGGTTAAAGCGATTCTCCTGCCTCAGCCTCCTGAATAGCTGGGACTACAGGCATATGCCACCAGGCCCAGCTAATTTTTGTATTTTTAGTAGAGATGGGGTTTCACCATGTTGGTCAGGCTGGTCTCAAACTCCTGACCTTGTGATCTGCCCTCCTCAGCCTCCCAATGTGCTGTGATTACAAGCATGAGCCCCCTCGTCTGGCCCACAAACTTTTTTATTGTATCAGGATTTGTTGACATCTCAGCATTTTGTAGCACAGTATCAATTACATTAGTTCCCCTTGGTATTAGACCCGGGCAAGTCACTTCCCCTTTTTAATTAAGCTCTAACGTCCTTATCTGTGCATTTTAGGGGGTGCACTCACAATATTTTTCTACTTCATCCCCTGGCTCTGTAAGTCCTACGAGTCACTTCCTTTAACAACTAAAACTTCATACTTCAGAGGTTAACAATATGTTAACTCACCAGCCCAAGTGTACGTGGGGAAAAAGCCCCCTGCCTGTGTTGTGGTCTGTTTAGCTCCCAGTATACAAGGCTTATTATTCCCAGTGAGTGCTGAATATCTCGTACCCTCACTTGGCAGACCACATCTACCTACGAAAGATCTTTACTTTTCACTAAGCTCTGACAGAAAGACAGCGTTTCCCTTATCTATGAATAGTTAACAAACAACAGTGTCAGTATCTGTGACTTTCTCATCAATAGTAATCAGCTATTTTTATTTGCTGTCACTTGTACTTAGAACTATATTTTTATTAAACCCATCCCTAGGTCTCTTTACTGCATATTTGAATAAAGTAGCATGTGTCATCTTTTGAGAAGGCGTTCATACGTTTTACCAGACAACCAAAGGGTTCTGTGGCACAGAAAAGCTGGAACACATGCTGGGAAGGACCCCATCAGTAGAAGAGGTAGTATGATTCTGCCAAGATTCTGGACCTGGTCTCCACTGAGGGAGCCAGTTGAAGATGATGTACACATCCGGACAGTGCACTGTCGGGGAAAGCATACAGGCCTTAAAGAGGAGACCTGTGTTAGAACCCTGGTTCTGTGCGACCTAGCAGATGCTTAAGTTCTCTAAGCCTCGGTCTCCCTACTCGTGAAATGGAGATCATTTTTTCTCTGTAGGATTTTTAGGATTAAGATATAATTGTATGTTTAGGAGTATTAGTTCCCTTTCTTTCGTAGGCGTGTTCCATTAAATGGAACTCAGTTCTTCCACCATCCATTCGTGTAACTGTGCTATTCCCTCATTGTGAAGCAGTAGCATAGGGTGCAATTTTAAAAATTTCCTGTTTGAAAAAGCACCTCCTTATATTAATATAATGATATTATAATGATTAACACCTTATGTTAATAAGGTATTCGTATCACATAGAAGGTTTTACCTTTTTTTAATACTATTTCTTGTGGAGACAGGGTCTCACTATTGTTGCAGGCTGGCCTTGCAGTGATCCTCTGGCCTTGGCCTCCCAAAGTGCTAGGATCACTGGTGTGAGCCACTGCACCCCGCCTGTATATGTGGTTTTAAAAATCAGTTGTCTTCCAGGCAGATAGGGTGGTTCAAAAGAAACGAACAGAGAGGGGGCGTACCACAGTACTCTTGTCTACCAGCTTTGTATCAGACACCATGCTGTGCACTGGGAATAGAGACTGATGTAACCGGGTACCTGAACTAAAGAAGCTAACAGTGTATGAGAGGGAGAGACCCATGAACAAACTGGATGTGGTAGGAGAAGGAGCGGTCAGAGCACACGAGGAAGACAGTGGTGCTTCTGGACGGACAATGTGCTGTGTGCAGCCGGCGTGGACAGCGTCCTTCTCAGATCCCCTCAATTTACAAACATGGAAGGAACAGTTCTTTGTCGATTCCTGAATGGAAATTATCAGAACCAGAGAGTCAGAGGAAGCTCTAGTAGACCTGGAGTTGGCAAACTCTTTCTGTAAAGTGTCGGATGGTGATTATTTTCAGCTCTGCAGGCTATACGGTCACCATCGCCACAACTCAACTCTGATGTTGTACAAAGGAGCTACGGGACAGCATAACAGAACGAGCGTGCTGGGCTCCTGTAAAGCTTTATTCGTGATACTGAAATGTGAATTTCTTGTAATTTTCACATCATGAAATATTCTCTGTGTTTTCTCCAATCATTTAAAAGTTTAAAAACCATTCTTAGCTCATAGACTGTTCGAAACTGGGTCTGGACTCAGAACTTGCTGGCCTCTGAGTGACAGCCTAGGTGATCTGCAGGGGTGGGAGGTGCTAGGCAAGGCTGTGCACAATGCCCGTGGTACGGTGACTGTGTGTGTTTGGCAAGGCTGTTGACAGGACACGCAGCACAGTGACCACCGCGTGTGGTCAGCAAGGGCGCCCACAGCAAACACAGTGAAATAACCGAATGTGGTGAGCAAGGCCATTGACACTGTACACGGTGCAGTGACCATGTGTGGTCATCAAGGCTGTCAACAGTGCACGCAGTGTGGTGACCGTGTGTGGTCAGCAAGGCTGTTGACAGTGCATGCAGTGGGGTGACCATGTGTGGTCAGCAAGCCCGTCGACAGTGCATGCGGTGGGGTGACCGTGTGTGGTCGGAAAGGCCGTCAGCAGTACATGCAGTGTGGTGACAGTGCGTGATCATCAAGGCCATCAATAGTGCATGCGGTGTGGTGACCACGTGTGGTCGTCATGGCCGTCGACGGCGGACGTGGTGCGGTGACAGTGTGTGGTCGTCATGACCGTCGACGGTGCACGTGGTGCGGTGACCGTGGGTGGTCGTCATAGTGGTCGACAGTAGACATGGTGTGGTGACCGTGTGTGGTCGTCATGGCCGTCGACGGTGGACGTGCTGTGGTGACTGTGTGTGGTCGTCAGGGCCGTTGACGGTGCACATGGTATAGTGAACGTGTGTGGTTGGCGAGGCCATGAACAGTGCATGTGGTGCAGTGACCACCGTGTGAACATGGGAGAGCTGCTGCCTCAGCTCAGCCTTCTGTGTGGCTGCTTACAGGGGCTTACTAAAGGGATAGAATATGTGCCCAGAGAAAGTGCCACACTGAAGTGAATTAAGGATACCAGGTGGGGAGAGGGGCCAGGAAGTGGCCTGGGGTGCATGGGTGGGCACTCAGAGCCGCGGCCCCTAGGGAAGTGCAGACACGGTCCTCCAGGCCATGGACCAGGAAGCAGGGGGGAGCCAGTGGGAGGCCCTTGGAGGCATTGGGTGTAAAGTCTGGAGCTGTGGGTGTCCAGTAGCACCGCCATGCAGCCTGGGGGTTTGAGGCCCCTCACCTAGGATCCCTCCACTCTAGACAAGGATTGACTTGGGGGGGACCTCAGAACTCCAGAGAAAATCTTGGGTGCTCCTCCCTGCTGTAGTGACGGGATCACAAGAGGCAGGTGAAACTGTCAGATGAGCAACATTGTCACAGGTTCCCAAAAGCCACCTGCCTACCCACCTGAATTTCTTCCCTAGTAGTTCTGCAGAACAGCTGTGCACAATCAGTTTATTTCTTTGGTACTGTGTTTTCTCCCCCATATTGTGTGTCATCCGCTGACATTCAGAGGCTCCCATTTGTTCTCTGTGGAACTGTCCCACATTCTCATTTCCCTGGTTGATGACACCAGAAAGACGACAGCTACCCACTCCCAAAAAGAAAGAGGCCGATGTTACAGAGAACCTCCTGGCCAGGCCTTTTGGCTCAGTTTGTCCAGTTGGAAGCCCTAAGGCACAAGAAAAGCCAAAGGGCCTCCCGAGGACTGTGATAGCGGGTGGTGCGCAGAGCCATCGCTAGCTGAATGTGGAATAGGATTCGTGACAGCCAAACCACCCCAGCTCCCCCAGAGCAATCCGTGTAGCTCTCGTAAGCAGCTAGAAACCAAAAACGGACGCTGACTTGAAGTCAGCAAAACGTGGGGCAGCCCCCGAGCTCTGGCTGTGAAACAGAATTTGCAAGTGGGCCCCTGTGAGCCCTGCTTTGGCCAGCAGGCCAGTTTAATATTCAGCATTCATCCAAATCGAGGGATGGAAATGGGGCCACCAGCCTGACCCAAGGCCGTGGTTGCTTTGCTTTTCCAACCTGTACAGTCCCAGCAACGCATTGCCCACGTGCAATTTGAAAGAGCCCTGCCTAACTGAAAAACGCGTGGAAAGTGCTCAGATGCACTGAAAGGCACGTCGTGGCCCTGCGTTTATGGGGCAGTTTATTTTCCATCAGGCCTGGACGACCCCTCCCGAGGCCCTCTCCCGCCTGCGGTCCCCAGCATAGCCGCCTGGCTGCAGTCTGCTTTCCTCCCGCTGTCACTGCCTGCAGGCCTCAGAGGCGATGACCGCCACAGGCTTATTTTTTGGAAAGTGCCTTGTTGATGTATGAGGAACTTCCAGTGCCGAAATAGTCTAAAAAATGAAGCTGGGACACTATGTTTTGATTTTAGCCGTTTGCAGACAGAGGGGCACACTCGGGACTCTTGGGCGCCTGGCACACTAAGCTGGGAGGGACTTTTGAGACATTTTGGCCATCTCTCCACCCTCCCA